CAGAGTGTCTCATTGTAATAATTATTTTTAATTAATAAGCGTATTTTAATATAATATAGGGTGTTTAATTTAATTTAATTAATTACAACATGTTTCGTTTATCAAATTTTAAATTTTCTTTTTATTTAAAGGTTTTTTATCACAATTTATTTACATTTATAATAAGTTATTGACATTAACAGCAATTAAATCTTGATAAATATTTTGACATTTACATTTATAATAAGTTATTGAAATTAACAGCAATTAAACCTTGATAGACATTTTGACATTTACATTTATAAAAAGTTATTGAAATTAACAGCAATTAAATCTTCATAAATATTTTGATATGTATCTTTCCCTTGTAGATAATTAATTACATTTCTAATATTATTAATTGTAGTTGATAATGATTTTTGAGTTTGTTTTTTTGCTTTTTGCAAAATTTCGTCAATAGTAAAATCCTCCCACATGAAGATTTGTTTGTAGGAAACTTTGTATGTGTTTTTTTCGAGACAGTTGGGTATTGTATCGAAAAAAACAACATCAAATTTCTGTTTTTGATTTGCTGGTTTTGTGCGGAGTAACACGGGCACTTTGCCCACAGCAGATCCATACTGACACCATACAAAAGTGTTCGGTATGAGTTTTGTAAATTTAGACTGTTTCGTAGGCTGGCTACTAGACTGGGAAAGCTCATCGGATCTTGAATCCTCACTCTCTTCTAGTATTTCCACCTTAAAGAAAATGTTTGCTATCTGCGGAGTATCCAACATCCTTTCAGCTGCAGCACATAAATAAATAAATTGAATTAGACTATTCCGCCAGTCAGAGTGCCTCCAGTATAAACTTGGGTGAAATTTATACCGGAGTCACTCTGACTAGCGAAGTAGCTTTTTGCGAATGTCTCTCTTACTTACGCTCTATATCTCCGAAACCTAGCAACGCCGGTCTATTCATTTTGCATTGCACCTCCGAAGACACGGATTCTCCGCTTTTTCTTTTTAGCCAATTTAATGGGGCAACTTCTGTTTCTGCAGAGTGTATAGATTGTCTATCCACCTCCAACGATTTTGAAGGGTGTACTGAAAATTACAAGAGGAAGATTAATGATTATAGTAACTGTGCATGGGAGAAATGTCTCTGGAGAAAACTTGAGTAAGTTTTCTCCAGAGACACCACTTGTTACTAATGAACTTATAATATTCTGTCAAAACTCACCTCTGCACTGAACCAGTCCATCATGCAGGAAATATTCGGTGTCCGCCGAAAACATTGAGCCAGTCTCTAATTTGAATAAATTACCCTTGGCATTATCCTTGTCTAGAAAATGGAGAGAAAACATTTTACAATATAGCCACCAGGAATAGAAAATGTGTTTTACAGCAATGTCTCTGGAGAAAACTTGGGCGTTTTCTCTAGAAACATGTTTCTCTTGGCATGTGTTAAATAGAGGAGCTCTTTAGCTTTAATTTGATTACTTGTGCAATGAAATCGGTTAAGAAGAAAAAAAGTTGTTTCCAAAATATTTCCATTATATGCCATACTATACTTGTAGAATTATTCTATATTTTAAAACAATTTTTTTTCTTCTTAACCAATTTCACTGCACAAGTAATCAAATTAAAGCTAAAGAGCTTCTCTATTGAATGCACCACAAGTGAAATGCCGAAATTGTTGTTAACAATGTTAAAATAATTAAAACAATGGAGACATTGTGAATGGGAACTTTTCATATACTGCAATTATCTCTGAAAGGAACTTATAAGTGTATTCCTTTCGGAGACACTGGCAGTGCATTATAAGTTCCCATTCACAATATCTCCATTGTTATTAATTATTATAACATTATTATCAACAAATTCTGCATTTCTCTTGGGGTGTATTAAATAGAGGAGCTTATTTAAAATAATTTTCGTTCTTAGTGTCTCTTTTGGATACTTTGGGTAAAGTATCCATCAGAGACACTGGCAGTATATCCAAAGTTCCTATTCACAGTGTTCCCCTCTTAATTAAGAATTAAAAAAACAGAATTGTTTGAAATTTTTTTTATTAAAAACTATCAATTTTTTACAATACAGTTCACATTTTATTTAAAATTTTTAGGTCATTAAAAACAGATGACCCATCCCTGTAATTTTTAAATAGGTTTGTAAGTTTTTTAAATTTTTAATTGTTTTTTTATACGAAAAACGGATTTAGTTTTAGTAACATCCAGGACATATTGCACTGTAAAATCTTCCCACACGAATATTGTCCTGAAATTTTATTTTAAAGATATTTTCTTTGGCGTTTTTGGGTACAACGTAGAAGAAAATACAATCAAACTTTAACTTGGAATTGACCGGTTTTGCAAAAATGCGTATAATTACTTTTCCAACTTTTGTATCATATTGTGCCCATGCAATATCATTTTTATGAAGACGTTCGAATTTAGTCATTTGTAATGATACCCTTCTATTCTTCCTTATCCATGCTGACGTCGACGTCGCTTTGATCCTCTACTTCGTTGACCTTTTCGTTGAATTCTTCGTCATCTTCATCTTCTAAATCAACTGAATAAAAGGTATTTTCAGTACAATCATTGACAGTAAAAACTGTTTCCATTATTAGTGACTCTACTTATTACTTTGGGTACAGTAATTAGTAGAGTCACTAATAATAGAAACATATTTTTTTTATTACTTACAGACGAATAAATCCAAATAGTCTTGATGTTTTCTTATTACTTTGATCTCCTCTGTATCAAAATCTTTCTCCTTGCGAACTTTAAAGTGGAAAATTTTCTCCATCCTTTCCTCTTCCTTTTCCTTGTTCTTGACCTCTTCCTTGTCCTCTTCCTCGCCCTCTTCCTCTTTTACATCGATTCCAACAGTCTGCGGAAAATTCTCGTTTGTCAGTTCGATGGGTTGATGTAGCAATGGCAATTCTTTGTTGCAAGATCGACGAGTTTGATATTCACGTGATCTGGAGATTAACAAATAATTTTCGTTCTTAGTGTCTTTTATGGATACTTTGGGTAAAGCATCCATAAAAGACATTTAAGAATGATAAAATAATTAATAACAACGGAGACACTCTGACTGGGCTCTAGATATACTGTTAGTGTCGCTGGAAAGAATATATTTTCAAGTTCCTTCCAGAGACACTAGCAATATATCTACACTGAAAGAATTAGAGGCAGGCTGCTGGCTTTTTATGTCCGAAATCAGTGCCCCTTGTTCATGGCTTGCAGCTCACCTCAAAAAAGCGAGCATCTACTCCCGAAAGGTGTGCAGCTGCCCCTGAAGAGTTGCTGCTTACCTTTCGGGAGTAGATTCTCGCCTTTTTGAGGTTAACTGCGAGCTTGAGGCAGCGAACTCTAGCGGTACTCATGTAAAGCCTGCAGCCTGCCCAAAATTCTTTCAGTGTAGTGTCCATTTACAGTGTCCACTACCAGTGAGCACTTACATGTACGTAATGAATACTGATAAAATTTTATTTCGAACATCCTTATTTCGAATTTTGACCTCCGCTAACAGTGACTTAAGAGCTGTTAATCTCTCCTTTTTTTGCATCGCTTTTGTTCGAATTAGATTCGACAATGCGTCAGGAACACTATCCAAATCAATATAATTAAAATAGAAAGCAGCGACTTTCTTTGCCGTAATTGGTGACAGGCAAAAAATATTCTTTACGTGAATACTTGGACGCAATTCCAAGAAGCTGTAACGAAAGGAAATTATAAAAACGGTTCTATTTTTATTTATTTTAAAAAATATTTTTGGGTAAAAATATTTTTCAAAATGAAAAAAATAAAACCATTTTATACTTACATTCTGACAGCAATGTGGCAAGCCACTTGCGGCGACAAATAATAAACGGGAACTTTTAAAAACTGCTGAATAGTTCCAAACGACCGAATATATCGACCCAATGAAAAAATTTTTTCATTATTATAATTTCCCCGCATTCCTAACGCACATTGCAGAATGCGTTGGCAATCTCCGAGGCATTGCAAATTATGATCGGCGTTTCTTATAAGAAATTGTCTTAATTTGTACACTTTGTCGGGGTACTCGTGGAAATAAAATAAATCGAACGCACTACTTAATTTTTCTTGAGGCATTTTGTTTGTAGCGGCAGCACAATTTTCAGTTAAAAAATGATTCTTTTCTTTATATTCATTTCAATTCTCTATTTTTACTATTTCTACATATAATATTGAATTTCATATTGCTATGTAAGTACTCGCTCAATTGATCGCTTTCTAATTTGTATTTAATCACCTATTATGAGCCTAGGTAAACTCAATAGTTCGGTTGTCGCAAAATCAGCCCTGTCGCCAACTTAATAGGTTTTTAACGTGTTTCGTCTCGCCCTTAGTCTACTATTGCATGAATGTCATTCATGCATCTGAGTTACCTTAAATTTAGTTTTAAGTAATTTTTAATAGCTGTTAAATGATTTTTAATACGTTTTCTTGCTATAAGAAGCCCCGTCTTCTTTACAGACACACAGTTCAATTTTCCGAGCGATTCGACCAACACGAGTAGTAACCGAAATACACACGAGCAACTTTTTCCTATACGAATTCACTTTTTTATTTAATGTAAATTTTCAGTGTAAATTCTGTTGTTGTTAATTAATAAACTGTTGATAAATTGAGAAGTAAACTTGACACTCATTCCTAACAATCCCACAAATTGGTGACCCCGACGTGATCGTGATTTTAAAGTATTTTTTCGTGGGACAAAGTGACAATTAAGTGACATCAAGGCGACCATCAAGTGTCAACAAAGTGACAACCAAGTGAAAACAAAGTGCCAATTAAGTGACAACAAAGCGACCATCAAGTGACAACAGAGTGACAATTAAGTGATAAAAAGTGACAACAAAGTGACGGTCAAGTGACAATCAAGTGATACGAAAATAGTCGACAAAGTGAAAAATTTACTCGTGACACTGAGAGTTTGTGACAATTTTTGACATTCTTTCTCATTTTTTGACATTCATTTTTTTTCTTCTAACAAATCAAAATGACAAGTGGTGTAACGAGCAACGAATCGATCGAAAGAATCGCGTTAAAAATGCCAGTATTCATGCCTGAAGATCCCGAGTTATGGTTTTTGTTGCTCGAGAGTAGTTTTGATGCAGCTGGCATCACTCAAGATGCAACGAAATTCGGTCACGCGCTTAGTGCCTTAGACCCGCGATATACCGTGGAAATTCGTGACGTTTTGCTCAAACCAAAACCCGAACGAACTTTCGAGCTTCTCAAATCAGAACTGATCAAGCGCATGGGTACTTCTCAGGAACAAAATACTCGCCGTCTCCTAGAAAACGAACCGCTCGGTGACAGAAAACCAACGCAATTTTTACGTCATCTCCGCAACCTGGCAGGAAATAAGTTTCCCGAGGATGTCCTGCAGACTCTCTGGCTCGGGCGCTTGCCGAAACATATGCAAGCCATGCTTGCCGCACACAGAGATCTTCCCCTGGACAAACGTGCTGACATCGCGGACTCTGTCGCGGACGCTTACGGGAGCTTGTGTAACGTCGCGGAAACGCACACGGGTGCAAGTGTGACAGCCTCGAGTGCCGCTGCTAATCCGTTTGAGGCCCGGTTTGCCGGACTAGAACAGACTCTCGCGCTTGTGTTGCAAAAATTTGCCTCCCTTGAAGTGAACCAAGTGTCTCGAGGTCGAGACCACTCTCACTCAAGGTCACGGTTTAGGTCTCGATCACACTCTCGAAACCGACGACAGCAGTCCAGGGACATGTGCTGGTACCATTGGAAGTTCGGTAGTGATGCTAGGAAATGTGAAAAACCGTGTAAATTCGAGAGTGCGGAAAACGCTGCGGGAAGTCGTTAATGTCGGCCAACGACGTAACTCCCGGTAAATCGCGCCGACTATTTTTAACGGACGAATCTTCGAAAATAAGGTTCCTTGTCGACACAGGTGCTGATCTGTGCGTCTTTCCGCGTGTGCAACTTCCTCAACCTCGTGAGAAATCAACCTACGAACTTTACGCGGCTAACGGGACACTCATCGCGACTTACGGAACGCAAATTTTGAATTTAAATTTTGGTTTGCGTCGCCAATTCACGTGGAGATTCGTCGTCGCTGACGTAGAGAAACCCATCATCGGCGCTGACTTCCTGGCACACTACGGACTCCTGGTGGACCTACAGAACCAACGGCTTCACGACCAAGTAACTCATCTTACCTCCCAGGGCGAGGTGGTTGAGTGCGAGATTTCCAGCATCAAGACTGTCACTGGTTCTTCTCGATTCCACGAGCTTCTGCAGCGGTTTCCCGAAATAACTCGCCCGGATGGTACAACCAGGTCTGTTCCACACTCAACAAGGCATCACATACTGACAACTCCTGGACCACCAGTGGCGCAGAAACCACGGCGTTTGGCACCGGACAGATTGCAAATTGCAAAATCCAATTTTGCAACATTTGTCAAATTGGGAATTGCTCAACCATCTAAGGCATCCTGGTCATCACCACTGCACATGGTTCCGAAAAAGGGAGACGAGTGGAGGCCATGTGGCGACTACCGTGCCGTCAACGCGAGAACCTACCCTGATAGGTATCCGATGAGGCACATTCAGGACTTCTCACATGCTCTACGTGGTAAGACCCTATTTTCAACCATAGATCTTGTCCGAGCCTTCAACCAGATTCCGGTCGCCGAGGAGGATATCCCGAAGACAGCCATCACCACACCTTTTGGACTCTTCGAGTTCAAATTCATGACCTTTGGTTTGCGGAATGCTGCGCAGACGTTCCAACGCTTCATGGACGAAGTGCTCCAGGGTTTGGACTTCTGCTACGTATACATCGACGACATCCTGATAGCATCTGCGACACCTGAGCAACATCTGGGACACCTGGAGATCATCTTCGAGAGACTGAAGAAGTACGGAGTGATCGTCAACCCAGCCAAATGCGTATTTGGCCAACCTGAAGTTAAATTCCTTGGGTACTTGGTCTCAGCTGCAGGAACCAAGCCCCTGCCAGACAAGGTTGATGCCATCCGTGCCTACACTCGCCCGGAAACAGTTAAGCAGCTCCGTAAGTTCCTTGGAATGATTAACTTTTATAGACGTTTCCTTCCAAATGCAGCCAAGGTCCAGGCGCCGCTCAACAATCTGCTGCAGGGGATCCTAAAAGGAAAAGCTCCAGTTACCTGGACTCCAGACTCCATCAAGGCGTTTGAAGCTAGCAAAGAGAGTCTCGCTGAGGCAACCTTGCTTGCTCATCCTGATGCTGACGCACCACTGGCCATCTTCTGCGACGCCTCCGACTTCGCTGTTGGAGCCTCCTTGCAACAGCTGATCGATAGCAGCTGGCAACCCTTGAACTTCTTTTCCAAGAAGTTGAGTCCAGCTGAAACGAAGTACGGAGCATACGACCGTGAACTCCTGGGGATTTACTTGGCCATCAAGCAATTCCGGCATATGGTCGAAGGACGGTCATTCACCATCTACACTGATCACAAGCCCATCACCTATGCGTTCCAGAAGAAGAGTGATCAGTGTTCTCCACGTCAGTTTCGACATCTGGAATTCATCAGTCAATTCTCAACCGACATCCGCCACGTCTCTGGAGAGGATAATGTTGTAGCAGACGCCCTATCTCGCATCTCTACAATTGAAACCATCCTGGACTACAATGCTCTTGCAGCCAGTCAACGTGACGACATGGAGCTGAAGACAATCCTGGAGGATGCAGATTCTTCCCTCCAACTGAAGCTGATTCGGATTCCTGATGCAGATGTCTCGATTTTCTGTGACGTATCCACTAGGTCAGCACGACCTTACATCACAGAAAAATTCAGGAAAGCAGCCTTCAGCACCATCCACAACCTCTCGCATCCTGGAATTAAATCTACGGTCAAGCTCGTAACACAGCGTTACGTATGGCCGTCGATTAAATCTGATTGCAGGAATTGGGCTCGCAGCTGTATCAACTGTCAGAAATCAAAGGTCTCACGCCATGTCCTATCTCAAGTAGGCAACTTCTCACCACCGTCATCTCGATTTGAGCATGTCCACCTGGACATCGTCATCATGCCATCATCTGAAGGACATCGCTACTGCCTCACCATGGTTGATCGATTCACTAGGTGGCCCGAAGCAATACCCATGGAAAATCAGGAAGCTGAAACTGTTGCTCGAGCATTCTACAACACCTGGATTGCTCGATTTGGAACCCCGCTGAGGATCACCACCGACCAAGGACGCCAGTTTGAGTCGTACTTATTTAAGCAACTCAATCGCTTATTAGGTACAACTCATCTTCGCACAACGGCTTACCACCCTTCAGCCAATGGAATGGTAGAACGGCTACACCGACAGCTGAAAGCAGCAATCATGTGCCACCAAACCAACCGGTGGACTGAGGTGCTGCCAACTGTGCTGCTTGGGATTCGAGCAGCGTGGAAAGACGACATCGAAGCAACATCAGCTGACCTAGTGTATGGTCAGTCTCTTCGCCTCCCTGGTGAATTCCTGGGGGACAACAGCAGCAACTTCGACAACTCTTCCGTTCCAGCTGATTTTGTTGTTGCTCTTCAACAACAACTACGGAACATCAAGCCTACTGGAGGATCTCGCCATGGAGTTAGGAGAACCTTTGTCTTCAAGGACCTTGCGACAACTGGGCAAGTTCTTGTAAGACACGATTCTCCTAAGCAACCTCTTCAGCAGCCCTACGACGGTCCCTACAAGGTCATCCGAAGGTTCGAGAAAACCTTCCTCGTCAACATCAATGGTCGTGACGTTAATGTCTCGATAGACCGTCTGAAACCAGCTTATATTTTGGCTGGTGATCCTGAGGCCAACATCCAGTCATCTCCAGATACCAGCAGCCAGGAGGCTGCAAACACAGAGCAGTTACCACCACCAGAACGAGAGGAAGTTTCAGTACCACACTCTACAAGATCTGGCAGACGCGTACGCTTCCCTGACCGCCTGCAGGGTGGTTTTTCGTAATCGTTAACCACTAGCAGGGGGGTACTGTAGCGGCAGCACAATTTTCAGTTAAAAAATGATTCTTTTCTTTATATTCATTTCAATTCTCTATTTTTACTATTTCTACATATAATATTGAATTTCATATTGCTATGTAAGTACTCGCTCAATTGATCGCTTTCTAATTTGTATTTAATCACCTATTATGAGCCTAGGTAAACTCAATAGTTCGGTTGTCGCAAAATCAGCCCTGTCGCCAACTTAATAGGTTTTTAACGTGTTTCGTCTCGCCCTTAGTCTACTATTGCATGAATGTCATTCATGCATCTGAGTTACCTTAAATTTAGTTTTAAGTAATTTTTAATAGCTGTTAAATGATTTTTAATACGTTTTCTTGCTATAAGAAGCCCCGTCTTCTTTACAGACACACAGTTCAATTTTCCGAGCGATTCGACCAACACGAGTAGTAACCGAAATACACACGAGCAACTTTTTCCTATACGAATTCACTTTTTTATTTAATGTAAATTTTCAGTGTAAATTCTGTTGTTGTTAATTAATAAACTGTTGATAAATTGAGAAGTAAACTTGACACTCATTCCTAACAATCCCACATGTTTAAAAAGCAAAAAAACTCACAATGGGTTTAACCACCACTCTTCACAATAGTCGTTTTCAATATGATGATCCTGTTTGAATTCTACAACGGACATTTGTGGTGAAAAATTTTAGTAATGGCTGCTTTCGGCACTCGCCCTGGGTTAACCCCGAGTTAACTATTATCCAATCATCAAAAACATTCTGTTGGTCTAACCAATCAAGGCCAACGCAGAATAGATCTGTAACCGGAACCGCAATCGTAACCGTAAGCGTAAGAATAAGTTAGAGAAGCATAAACAATATACCTATCCTTCTTTAACTCATTCTTACGGTTACGCTTACGATTGCTGTTCCGGTTAAAGATTCTATTCTGCGTTGGCCTTCACCATTAACCGGGAGTTAATTCGGGGCGAGTGCTGAAAACAGACAATGAAGCCATTGTCTGCGTCTGCGCAGAAGACATTATGCTGCCAATTTCTTGGCGGTAAATTTGAATGTCTTTTGCGCAAATAGGGACATTGGCTTTATTACTACAAGTACTGCAACAGCTCTTGTTGACAGCTGCCTGTGCAGGCAGCTGTCCTCCATTTAGGCGGAAGATTTAAATTAATAGTAAAATTAAATTAATAATTTTTTATTTTTAATTGTAATAATTAAATTAAATTGAAAATAATAATAAAAATTATAACAATTATTATTTTTTATTCATTTTTAATAATAATTTTCATTAAAAACAATATTTCCGCCTAATTGAGGCCGACTGCCTGCGCAGGCAGCTGTCGATAAAGAGCTGTGGCAGTGCCTTAAAAGTTTTCACCACAAATGTCTGTTGTAGAATTTAAACAGGATTATTGTGAAGTTAGGGAGGGTGGGCACTTTATATATTGCTAGTGTCTCCGGAAAAAATATATTTACAAGTTCCTTCCGGAGACACTAGTAGTATATCTAGAACCAATGCATAGTGTCTCTGTTGTTATTAATTATTTTATCATTGTTAACAAAAATTATCTCCACTTCTCTTGGGGTGTGTTGAATAGAGGAGCTCTCTAGCTTTAATTTGATCACTTGTACAATGAAAGCGGCTAAGAAGAAAAAAAGTTGTTTAATATAAATCAATAATATTCTTATATATGATCCATTATTGCTCTTAACAATGATAAAATAATTGATAACAACACAGACACTCTGAGTGGGCTCTAGATATACTGCTAGTGTCTCCGGAAGGAACTCGTAAATATATTTTTCTCGCAGACACTAGCAGTATATAAAGTTCCCACTCAGTGTGTC